CGATCCTTCCTCCTCAGCCTTCCAAGTAGCCGGAATTACAGGCATGCACTACCATGCCCGACTGAGTTTTTGATTTATTGTAGAGATGAGGTCTCGCTGCCTAGGTGGGTCTCGAACCGCAGGCTCAGGCAATCCACTCACCTCAGCCTCCCAAAGGCGCGGGATTACAAACTGAGCCACCGAGCCAGGCAATTCCCAGCATTTCTAAAGAGCACCTATGGGAGAGGCTAATTCCTATCAGCCACCTTGCCTGAAGTGCCTGAGGACATACCTGCTGAAGTGAGCACATCCTCTTGGCTCAAGGCACCAAGATGACAAGGAGGAAGGGAAGGGGAGCAGCTACGCCAGCGGCAGTGCCCTGTGGAGAGGGGAGGGACACTGTGCTGGGTGGTTCTCAGCCCTGGCATTGGTTGGAACTTTGTGAAGAGCTTTGAGCAAATACTGAGGCCAGAGCTCCGCCCTACCTCCAAAGTCCTAATTTCATAAAGCAGAGCAGGGCACCAGAGTTGTTTCAGAATTTCCCAGGTGATCCTAAGGTGCAGCCCCGATTGGCAGCTACTGACCAAAATGAAAACTTGTGAGAGACACCGGGATAAACTATTTATCAACTAGTGAAAATGAAATCAGGGCATGTAGCCATGACCACATTCTCAGGAAGCCTCCAATCTTGTGGTCCTATAGTGTTGAGCCTAAGAAATAGAAAATGCAGGCCAGGTATAGTGACTCACGCCGGTAATCCCAAAGCCTTGGAAAGCTGAGGCTAGAGAATCACTTGAGGCCAAAAGTTCATGACCAGCCTGGGCAACATAGCGAGACCACATTTCTACAATAAAAAAAAATTTTTTTTTTAATTAACCAGGCATGGTGGTGCATGCCTGTAGTCCCAGCTACTCCTTGAGAGGCTGAGGCAGGAGGATTGCCCGAGTCCAGGAGTTCAAGGGTCTAGTGAGCTATGCTCTTGCCACTACACTCCAGCCTGGGTGATAGAGCAAGATCCTGTCTCTTAAAAAATAATGAGAATTACAATGCAGAGTGAAGCTAAACCAGAGAAGCAAATAGGCAAGGGTCATAGCATGCAAGCCAACCTATACATTAAAATGCTGTCGGATTTAAACCATGGGCATGAGGAACCAAAGATACACTTAAAACTGCTGCAAAAGGATTAAACTACTACCTGTTTTGAGCAGTATTCTTCGTTTTCATTTTTTTATTTTTATTTTTATTTTTTTTGAGTTGGAGTCTCACTCTGTCGCCAGACTGGAGTGCAGTGGCCGCTCCTGGCCACCGCAGCCTCGACCTGCTGGGCTCTGGCGATCCTTCCGCCTCAGCCTTCTAAGTAGCTGGAACTACAGGTGCGCGCCACCACACCCAGCCAATTTTTTGATTTATTGTAGAGATGAGGTCTCGCCAAGTTGCCCAGGCAGGTCTCGAACCCGCGGGCTCAGGCAATCCACTCACCTCAGTCTCCCAAGGTGCGGGATTACAGGCTGAGCCACCGAGCCCGGCAACTATTTTATTTTTTTTTAATTGGAGTTTCATTCTGCTGCCCAGGCCGGAGTGCAGTGGCACGCTCACGACCACCCCAGCATCAACCTGCTGGACTCAGGCGATCCTTCTGCCTCAGCCTTCCAAGTAGCTGGAACTACAAGCACGTGCTACCATGTTCAGCTAATTTTTTGATTGTAGAGACGAGGTCTTGCCAAGTTGCCCAGACTGGTCTCGAATCCCTGAGCTTAGGCAATCTTCTTGCCTCAGTCTTCTAAAATGCTGGGATTACAGACTTGAGCCACATTTTTATTTTTAACTGTTAAAAATGAATTTCCTCCTTTTAAAATGTCATTGTATCATAACATGTTATTTCTCACAGATTATATTTGAAGCACATGTGTATTTCTGGTCTATCTAAACTTGTACATTAATCAAATACTTTAGACATAATTCAGAAGAATTGTATTTTAGACATGTAAACTCCAAAGCCTCAAAAAAGTCACACACACACACACACATACCTGGTATCCATTTTTTATTTCTCATTACGTCTAAATTTTTAGAAGCACTAAGTTATCCCAATTTGGTACAACACCGCCCCCTGGTGGAAATATATAGAAAACCCCTACACTTGATTTAATTTGAGAATTTTAATATCGCAGAGGCGAGAAAGATTAGATAATATGCTGGAATGTTTCTCTCACTCTCTCTAGCAGCAGACTGTTCTCTTCAAACAAAATCATATGCAGCCGGGCTCGGTGACTCAGCCTGTAATCCTGCGCTTTGGGTGGCCTTCCATACAAAAAAATAAAATAGTTGCCGGGCTCGGTGGCTCAGCCTGTAATGCCGCACCTTGGGAGGCTGAGGTGAGTGGATTGCCTGAGCCCACGGGTTCGAGACTTGCCTGGGCAATTTGGCGAGACCTCATCTCTACAATAAATCAAAAATCAGCCGGGCGTGGTAGTGCGCGCCTGTAGCTCCAGCTACTCGGAAGGCTGAGGCGGAAGGATCGCCGGAGCCCAGTGGGTCGAGGCTGCGGTGACCGGGAGCGACTACTGCACTCCAGTCTGGACGACAGAGTGAGACTCCAACTCAAAAAAAAAAAAAAAAAAAGAAAGAAAAGAAAATCATATGCAAACGCTCAGTGAGCAACACAGTAAATCTCGAGTGGTGCTGGGAGCTTTCCCTTGCCCACGTGTTCACTGCCAACCCTATATCCCACCCAGGATGTCCAAAATAGAACTTATTATCATTGAACAGAAGTCATCACCCCCAAACAAAATGAATATTAAATCCATTTCTCCTCAAGCCTTTTAATCTCAGTCAATAATAGCACCTCCTTTTCCATTCACCCAAGCACAACACACATGGAAATATCAAAGGCTCTGAGTAGGCCTGAGTCAAAAAGCCAGGCTCCATGTATTTAGCGCAGCAGTTTGCAAACTCATTTTATTGCGAGACACATTGCCCTCCCCCCTAATGCTTTTCTGCAAACTGCAAGGTTCTCTTTGGCTATGTTTCCTTTAGAAGGACAGTTCCACCTTAATTAGCAAATGAGCCCTCTGGCTTCATATGCTGGTCAGTCTTCAGAAATGCTTAGGCAAACTTGACCACACAACAAGCCGGAGCTCAGTCATTTGTGGTAATGGACTGTATAGCCTTTGGGTGCCTGACCCCAGACAGCTATTAAACGGATGCCGTGTCCATGGGCAACTTCTCTGTGTTCTACCATCATTCCCATTGAGGGGAGGGAAAGGCTAGCACCAGCACCAGCAGTAATCATGCTCTGTCCTCAATTAAATGTCATAAGTCTGCACTGTGGGATCGCCATGGAATTTTACTTAGATGGATTATGATGCTCTTGTGCTATAACCCAAGAGTCTTGTGAGCACCTCGCAATTGACAGGGATTTAAGTGTTTTCCGTACATTATCTCCTTCTGTGGATTTATGAAACAAAAGATGTCAAAATCCCTATAGCTTCATATAAATTTGCATAGGTCATTTGGACATTAAATCTGAAAGAAATCTTATCTAACAAGTATTTTAGCAACAATCAAAAAAATAGAGTGTTGTGCACTGTGTCATTAATTCTAGACTTCCTAAGTCTTCATGTAGCACTATTTTGTTGTTGTTATTGTTGTTTTTAGAGACAGGTTCTCACTATGTTGCCCAGGTTGGACTCGAACTCCTGGACTCAAGCAATCCTCCCATCTCAACTTCCCAAGTAGCTGGGACTATAGGCACGTGCCACTGTGCCTAGTTTACATGTTGTATCATTTCTAGTTTTTGACAAAGACATGTCTACTTAAATTCTCATGCCATGGAAATATTCTCCGAAACTGTTCTGTGCTTTGACCAACAGTCTCTGGGGACATTGGCTGCCATTTCATGTCATCTATAGCTTTGATTTGGGAGCAGGGGCCCTGAGGGCACGGACACACTCGCCTACCAGCCTGGCAGCCTCCAGGGCAGTGCCCCAGTGCACTGAGACACCCCCAGCCCCATGGCCATAGTTGTGGACCACAGGCAGCCTCCGGCCATTCCGGTCAAGGAACTCCCTCTGCAGCCTCACACCTGACCTGGTTGGCCTCAAGCCCACCTTCTCCTGGACGCTGTGGGCTCCACGGAGAGAGGGCTCCAGGGCACAGCATCGGGAAAGAATGTCTCTGCTGACTTCTGCATCTGGGGACAGGTTCCAGTCTCCTTGTTGCCTGGTTCCACCCAGAGTCACGTGGAAGGCACCAGGATAAACATACGTCAAGCCACTCCCATCTCGGATAAAATGCTTCACCCAGGGAACCTGGACTTGAAGCACTTGGCCCCTGATGGGGAAGACCTCCATGTCTCCTGCGAGTTGCCTGCTTCCAAGGCCCGAACAGTTGACCACAATGTCGAAGGAGGGCTGAAGATCCCACAGGTCTTCCACCCGCCGGGCAAGCAGTTGGCCTCCACTGGCTTTTACCCTGGAGAAGAGAGATGGGGAGGTGAGTCTCGAAGGCCTCTGCCCAGTGACCACCAGGAAGTGAAGAGGAACGCAGGAATGAGGGTAAGGCCACCGGTTGACGAATGGACACTGCAGACCTTCCGGGGCCGACACGGTCAAACTCTAGTCATCAAGGGTCTCACATCCTTGGAGGCTAGAGAGGTCAAAAGCTGAACCTACAGGAAAACCTATTCTGAAAATCCAAAGCAAAGAACATCACATGCCTTGCCCTTTTTATGTTTTGTAGGATTTCTATCTCATTCTAGAAGCTAAATAAATACCAAGTTGATCTGGCATTTTAAACCTCCAAGAAGTTCTTATTTATACCATTTATACCATTTTATTGTATTTGTGAAACATTTTATTTTATTTATTATTTATTTATTATCATTATTTTTTTTTTTTTGAGTCAAAGTCTCACTGTCGCCCAGGCTGGAGTGCAGTGGCATGCTCACGGCCACCACAGCCTCAATCTGCTGGGCTCAGGTGATCCTTCCATCTCAGCCTTCTAAGTAGTTGGATCTACAGGCATGTGCCACCATACTTGGCTAATTTTTTGAGTCATGTAGAAACAAGGTCTCGCCAAGTTGCCCGGGCTGGTCTTGAACCCCTGGATTCAGGCAATCCTTTCACCTCAGCCTCCCAAAGTGCTGGGATTATAGGTGTGAGTCACCACACCTGGCGTATTATTTGATTTTACTATTTTATTACTGATATATCAGTAATATTTCATTACAAATAAATTCACTGCCTGAAATGGCTTGTTCAGACTCTAATCTTTTTAAAAATTGTGGCAAAATACACATAACACAAAATGTATCATTTCAACCATTTCTGGGTGTGCAGTTCAATGGCATTAAGCACATCACATTGTTATGCAACCATCACCACCATCCAGTGCCAGGATTTTTTTTTTTTTAATCTTACAAAAAAATCTTACAAATGGAAACTCTGTACCCATGGAATGATAGGTTCTGCCATCCCATTCCTAGGTCATTTTGTAGAATGTAGGAGATTCGCAAGGAGAAAGAGACTTATCAGCAGCTCTGTTCAACAGACACATGCTGGATGACCAGATGCAAGGCACTGCTAGGATGAACCAGAAGGGTGTGGACCATGATGAACTCCCCCCGAAGGGCCCACAAAGGTACTGGCAGGCTGAAGTGTAACGTCCCTGGCGGAATGAAGTTCTAAATGTGGTGATGGAGACCCAGAAAGCCTGGCTGTGGGTCCCAGTTCTGCCTCACATGAGCCTTGAGCTCTTGGCCAACTCACCTCACTTCTCTGATTCTCAGTTTCCTCATCTACAGCACCGGGATGATCACAGGGATGACACCTCCTTTGCCCATCTCAGCGGGTGACTGTGAGGTTCCAATAAAATGACCCCTACTTGGAAGCTGTTCAGCACAATACACTTTAGGGGATTGGTATCACCAATCATAAATTCCTCAAGGAAAGAGTGTCCATCTTATGCCTTTTTTTTTTTTTTTTTGAGTTGGAGTCTCACTCCATCACCCAGGCTGGAGTGCAGTGGCATGCTCCCGGCCACTGCAGCCTCGACCTGCTGGGCTCCGGCAATCCTTCTGCCTCAGTCTTCCAAGTAGCAGAACTATAGGTGCACACTACCATCCCCAGCTAATTTTTGATTTATTGTAGAAACGAGGTCTTCCCAAGTTGCCCGAGCTGGTCTCGAACCTGCGGGCTCAAGCAATTCACTCGCCTTGGCCTCCCAAAGTGCTGGGATTACAGGCTGAGCCACCGAGCCCTGCCTTATGCTTCTTACTATCCCTATAACCCAACTCAATACCCAGACTTTAAGTATGAGCCAATACTAAAGACACTATGAAATCCTGGCTTGGGCCTGTGATGGTTAATTGTATGTATCAATTTGACAGGGCTATGAGGTGCCCAGATATTTAGCCAAACATTGTTCTGGGTGTTTCTATGATGGTGTTTTTGGATGAGATCAACATTTAAATCAGTGGATGAAGTACAGATTGCCCTCCCTAATGTGGGTAGGCCTCATCCAATCAGTTGAAAGCCTGAATAGACAAAAAGGATGACCTGCCCCCAAGTCAGAGAAAATTCCTTCCACTGGATGGCCTTCCAACTGGGGTGCTAGCTTTTTTCTGCTTTTGAACTGGAGCTTGCTTGCCTTGGCTTGCCTCAGTTTCCAGCTTGCCTGCCAACTCACCATGCAGATCTTACCTATCCTGTTGGCTCTGTTTCTCGGGAGAACCCTGACAAACACAGGATGGCACCACACTGGCCTCCTCTCTCTGTTGTGACCCAAGCCTGTATCAGGGAGAAACTGGGAAGAGCTGACATTGGAAGTAGAGGTGGCATGCTAGTGCCCTCCCTGCTCTTGGGAGAGTGGAAGTGCTTATCACAGCAGTTCTGAGCACCATCTGCCCTCAAGGCCAGAGAAACAGGTTTAATGTGAAGGAAAACAATAAGAAAAGACAGAAACTTCTGGAGCACAGATAAGAGGTGGTGTAGCGTGACAACTGATTTAACTTAACAAGGAGGGATTCTTTGAAGTGATTCTGACTTTCCACTCCACTTTCTGGCTGGAAAGTTTAGTTCTGAAACTTGTACTAAGATCAGCCGCAAACTGGCCTTCTGACACCGAGTCTCCTGTCTAGCAAACACCTCAAGTTGATGAGAGTGGAAGAGACGAAGTTTGCCACTCAGCAGCATCGCAGATTCTGACCCCAAGAGCTGTTTCCTCCTCCACCAAGCACCTCCTGGGAGCTGTCTGGGTGACTTTCCAACTTCTCCACATGGGACCGAAGCCTGAGCTGCTGGGCAGGGCTCCGTCTCCCCAGTCTCTCCACACTCTCTCCCTCTGCAGAAACCTCCGAAGCATCTCCACTGAGCAGTTTGAAGAACAGTTTGACACCTCTGGATTCAATTCATTGATTAATCAACAAATAGTCGCTGAGAGCCTGTCCTGTGCCATACACGGTGCTAGGTGAGAAGAGCTCAAAGGCTACTTCTCGCCCTGAGGTTACACGAGCCTGCCATGCACTTCTGGCTCATCACAAGCTACAGCGCAACATCAATGCTCCAAACAACAGAACCCACGTTCTAGGCACCGGCACTGGCACTCCATGCATCCTTGCCTGTCATTCTGAAAACCCACACAAGACAGGATATTGTTTACCTGAGACAATGAAACCAAAGTAAGGAATCTGGCAGGCAGTCACCTCTGAGCACCAAGAGATCCAAGAAAGCCAATAGTTTCCTTTTTGGTGTAACCAAAAGTGGTTAAAAGCGAGAGAATGAAGCTGGTGCTACTGTTCTGTTTGTTTTCCAAGTAAAACAGTTCATAGATAAAAGCGTTTAATGTAGCAACTGTTATGGTCACAAGTGCTTAGCTCTCTCCATGGAATCAGCAATTTGAAGGCTTAAGTTACGTTTTTAAAATATATAATAATAGGTGAGTGTTTTTAAAGTTTAAATCATTCTATAAATTTTTTTTTCTAACTCTGGTATAGAAAGAAGAGTACATTGGAATTTTGTGGTGACACTGACCATTGCAGTGTTTGCAGTTCTCTCAAGGGTTCAGGAGGGCTCTACCCATTATCATTCATGTGACCTTAGTCAAGTTGTTCAACATCTCTAAGTTTAGTCCTTCATCTTGAACATGGGGATAATAATACCAACTTTATAGGCTCATTGTGAAAATGAAATGAGATAACATCTGGAAAAAGTCTGACATCGTGCTTAACACATCACAGCTGCCCCATAAAGTTTTTTTTATAAGAAAAGTAAAGGGTTTAGGGTTTGTTATGCTACTGTGAATAAAAGACCCAGTGCAACATCCATGAGTATCCCTGCCCTCCACTTCCAAATGTCATTAATGTTTAATTAAGAATGACATTTCAGCTGGGCACGGTGGCTCATGGCTGTAATCCCAGCACTTTGGGAGGCCAAGGGGAGAGGATTGCCTGAGCTCAGGGGTTCGAGACCAGCCTGGGCAGCTTGGTGAGACCTTGTCTCTATAACAAATCAAAATAATAATAATAATAAGCCGATCATGGTGGCGCACGCCTGTAGTTCCAGCTACTTGGAAGGCTGAGGCGGAAGGATCTCCTGAGCCCAGAAGGTC